CCACGCTGGTGTATGCGCTCTCTGGGCTCAAGGTTTGGCTGGCGTTGGTTTGGGGTTTTGTTTGGGGTGGTTGTTTTCCATGGGGTGTTGCGCATTTCTTAATCTGTTCCTTAATATTTCGGCTGTGCGAAATGACAAACATCTTGCAGGTTTTGCAATATCATTCATCACGAACTGTCAGCAGTGTTTGCAAATCTGACTTGCAAGATCTTTTAAACGTGTTGTTCTTAAAAGGCAACAGTACTAAGTTTTGAGACAAAGTGCAAGAGAATTTAAGCACTTGTGACAAGCGGAAACATTAGCAGTAATCATTTTTAAAACACTCACATCTCTTGCCTGCGTGTTTAGCTGTAAATAATGCTAGAATGTATAAAAGCTTTAAAGTAAAGAAATGTAATAAATACCTTTTATTATGTTTCATAAAGGATAAAAAAAAATGCTGTGAGTAACCATGTATACACGTTACCTATACAATCGCATGTATAGAGACAGATAGCTCCTCCTCCTTGCTGCTAACCAGATTGGAGGCCTGGACGGACAGCTTGGAAAAGGCTCCGAAGTCAATCCTGAACATACATGCTTCATAAAAGATGAATATAAATGCGATAGTTAGACACGGTGAGCTAAATTAGAAGGTCAGGCAGGGCTGGGAGGGCTGAAAAATCACACAACCAGTGAGTGTAATTACTCTTTTTTAAGTCTATTAAGTGGTGTTGTTCTATCAGGGCTCAGGGGTATAGCACATGAAGAACAAGATAAAGTAATGTGTATTTATTACTCCCACTGGATCAATTTACCAGATATTTTCAGCTCCATAAAGCAAAATACACAAATGCCGCCTTTGTTACTTTTCTCAAACTGCTTCATTTTCTCCAAAAGAGGGACTGGCTCTTGGAGAAAAAACATGTTGCCCCCTGGAGGTGCCCAGGCCAACCCCTCTGGGTGGGGAAGTGGGGGAAAGCTGGTGGAAGCTAGAGTAGGATGGGGGTGAGATGACAGGAGAGGGAAGCTAATCGCCTCAAGGCCGAATTACCTCGGGTTCCAGGCTTGAGGGGGAAGCAGGAACTCTATGCAGTGGCAACCATAAGCCTGAAGACCTGGGCTCAAAACTGTTCCCTAGCTGCTGGCTGAGACGCTGTAGGAGTCAGTGGCCCCCTGGGGGCTCTGGTTCCTATGAAATGGGGAGTACCCACCTCGCAGACATGTGTAGCTTCCATTTCTGAAGTCTTGTTAAATGCCAGAGAGATCTCTCTGCATGGATTATCTCATTAACGCTGGACAACAACACTGCAGGCAGCTGGTTTAGGGAGAGAACCTTGCCTGGGAAGGTTGTCAAGTGGATCTGGCTTTCAAAGCCCATGTCTGTCTGGCCTGACAGCCATCTCTTTTGACCTCTCTGCCCATCAACAAACTTGACAAAGCCATGCTTTGCACACAGTAGGCATCAATTAAATGTTACCTACTCTCTGGGATCCCCTGCTAACTCAAGTCTACTCCACTCACTGCCTTTGCACTAATGCTCGCAGACCACTCAGAAGACAACCAAGAAGGAGTCCAAAGCAATTTGAAAGGGGACAGAGACACCTCTGGCCTCCAGAACAGATGGAGCTCCTTGCTCAATGTTTCTGGGTTGCATCATGCCTTTCGGCACCTCAGAGCTTCTGACTGACCACAGTCCCCTTCCCCCTCGCCTCGACCTTGTAAGAAATGTCAACCTTCACCCCAAACTTGGCCACATGCTCTCTCCCTCCTGCCAGGATCTGGGAGGAAGGCGAGTCTTTATGTGAAACAGAACAGAATGCTGTGATTTAAAAACCTTCGTCCGCCCTTACTCACGTGCACATGGAAAAGGAAACTAGAAAACATCTGAGGTGAGCATAACTGTTATTTTTTTTAAAAAGTGTGTCTAGCAACTATCACCAGCGGAGACATTTAGAGGTGAAATAACCTGCAGAGAAGGATCGGCTTGCCCCCGAGCTCTCGTTTGGGAAATGGGAGGGATGCCTGCGTCCCTGACTTCTCTCACGAGAGGGGTTCTCATAAAACAAAGCGTGTATGAGCCCTTTGAAAAAGCCCACGCCACCATACAAAGGCATATTATTACGGAACGCTGTCTGCTTGGTCTTGGGAGCAGTTTCATTTGACAGAATATGTGGGTGGTGGTATGAATCTAGCTTTGTCTATTCACAAACACATGGGTTTAATAAAGCGCCGTTTGTTTTGTGAGGTGTGTGGTCCGCGCGGCTCACTGAAACACTCCTGTTTGACAAACACTGACCATGACTCTGAGGGAGGCGGGGCCCATTTTGATCCCGTGAACAATGGACAGCGAGAGGATAAGCCTCCCAAGCGCTCAGGAATACCTCGTGCTGGCTCCATCCGCCACTTCCTGACCCTGCTCTTGAACCCTCACTCCACCTTAAGACTCAGAGCCAGGAGGACAACCACTCCTCCGCTCTGAGTCACACACAGGGCTTCCTGGGGTGGGCTCCTGCCAGAGTCCTCGCACGGGCCAGTGGTAGATGCAGGCTGCAGAGTGTTTCCTTAACACACAAGCCCATTGTGTCCTTGATTACTCGTCCCAATCCCAGGAAAAGGGGCTAGGAGTTCCACCATCAGGCCACGGGGACGAAGGGACACGTGCCTGGGCCATTTGTTCAACATTTCTGAATGTGATCTTCAGCCAGAAAAAAAAAAATGTTTTTCAAAGTTAAGCACACAAAACTCAATCCCGTATTCCTACTTGTCTTTTCTTTCTTTCTAGATGAGAAAAGAACTGCCTGGCTTCTCTAGACCTCATCCAGATGAAACCAATTCGTTTTCTATATTTTTCAATAAATACTTAGAGAATGGCAATAGCGAGCTAGATATGGTGCCAATGGCACACACAGGATTACCTCTTTTAATCCTTACTGAGTCCCTTGATGTTGGCACCATTATATCCCCATTTGATAGATGAAGAAATTGAGGCACAGAAGATAAATCATAGACCCAGCTGCTCACCGGGTCTGAGATTAGCTCTGAGAAACAAGGGTCCCACTCAAACTCACTGGCAAATAAGCATAGCTACCTTTTGTTGAATGCAAAGCAAGGGATTAAAGTGGCAACCCCCAAAAGTTGGAAATACTATCACCTCTATTTGACTGAGAGGTGAATTGAGGCCCACAGAGTTAAAGAATGTTGCTTTTAAATTTTAAAAAAATTTGACCCAGATTGCATAGCCATTGCCCTCGCTTAAAGTTCACTCCATCCCCCAACCCCCACCCCGATCTGCCCATCCAGTCCCTTCCGCAGACTCAAGACCCATCCAATGTCAAAAGTAAAGTGAACACGATCCCCAAATGGATCCATTCCTTCTTTCTACTATAGAGAAACCTAAAGCACTGACCTTTGGGTAGATAAACAGTATTTATATCATCGTACTATAAAATTACCAATAAAATGTCCAATTATTGCCCCTCAGGAAATGCTCGGGAGTTAGGTTCTAGTTAAACAGAGAAACATGAGGTAAAACTGCCCACTGCACATCTATACTATAGAAGCAGACTTCCATCCACTGTGACCATTAGATTATTTAATTGCTCACCATGAATGAGGCAAGGTGAAAAAGAATGGTATGTAAGAGGAAGGTCCCTTTCAAAGACAAGGATATGGATAGACTGACACATCCTATGGCTTCTTCCTTGGGTGAAATGCTTCCAGGAAGCTTTTACCAACAGCACTCGGTGGAAGCAAGGCTGCTCTGGGAAGCCAAGGGTTGAGCCTGAGGTTGGGTGGTTCTTTCTCTGCAATCTAGGTGGAGGAAAGACGCATTGGCCTGTCCCAGTTCTTCCTCTCTCCAGGAAGCAGCGCCCCCTTCTCCACCCTCCTGGCCCATCGCGCTGCATATCTGTTCCCCGGCCGCTTTCTCCTGGACCAGGCCTGTTCAGACAGGTGGCTCTGTCTCCCCATGTAGCAGGTGCACAGGTAGAATTTGATGATGAATGGCTCTCCCAAAGAGGTTAACTGAGCTAGGAAGGATGCCAACTTCATTTTTCTAAGTGCTTCATGAGGAGAAACAGACCTATCTGTGGACGAACCATAGCAAAGAGAAGACCTTTCACCTACTCATTTAATTTATAATAGTTTTCACTGGTGTCATGAATAAAATTCCATTTTGCTGTCAGTAAAGTGAATGGTAGCTCAATTCATTCTGTCCTTCAAACTCCCTTAGCCTTTAACTGTTCTGAGTCCTCAGGGAACTTTGGCTGCACTTTTTTTAAATGTACCTGTTCTTCCTGTCACGTATGGTATGGGATAGAGTGATCTCTCCCATTCAGGTTCCGAGCTCTTTGGGTACCGAGATGGGGATATTCATCACAGACAGTAGGTTCAGAACGAGAGTCAGTAAGTGTGGACTTGCTTTTTCCTCATTGGGGATTAATGACGTATTGCTGTGTGCCATGTGTTACTTTGCCTTGAATTCTTGTTTCATTTCTACCTTAACTCCTAGTTAGCGTGCCTCTAGAGGAAAGAGGTCCTGTCTTATTTGTCCAGTTGCAAGATCTACCAATACGTTTTCTTTTGTTCTCCCCTCGATGGGGATGAGAACAGCAGTGTTCCTTTTCCTCTTGAGAGCAGGAGTGACGAAGTGATTAACAACAACTTGAACTTTGGACCCAGGCTGTATTGATTTGAATCTCAGCTTAGCAAGTTACATACTTTGTGACCTTGGGCAAATTATCTAACCTCTCTTTGCTTGATTATTTTCTTCAAAATGGAGGTGGTAACAGGACTAATCTTAGAGAGTTTTGAGAGTAAGAAATGACACAGCATATGCAAAAGAAGTACCATATTACCTGGCACATAAGTGCTTGTTTACCTATAGCACCAAACACACAAAGCCAAAAGATTACTGAGTTGCTTATCTATGAACTAATTTTTATCAATGGCCAAGTTTCCTGCCAATCACCCAAGTCCAGGTTTCCAGAAACCGTAACCCAAAGAAGAGGTGTACTGACCTTTGGCAAACGCTCAGGATCTCCAGGGTGCCGGGGAATGACCTTCTGTAACCTCTGGAAACCATAATCGATGGTGGGTTCGTTGAGCGCTACAATGAAGAAGTCACACAGTTAGAGCCATTTCAGGAATGAGAACATGATTTCTGCAGCACTGATGATGTGGAAGTAACCAGAAATAACCAGGAAGCCCAAAGCTTGGTTGATAACCTTTGAATCAGATTATGAAAACGACAAGACGAATGTTTCCTCTGCTGAACATGACCGCTATCTACTTCTGCTATTGACCATAGCAGGGAGGGACTCCCTCAAAGGACCCCTTCATAGGACAGGGACAAACTCTGTTCTTCTGGCCATATTTTATATTCCTTACATTATTGAAAACAGAAAGTCAAATGGTATTGAATGTGAAGTTATAGGGTTTACTTTCAGTCAGAAGCTGAGGTCAGAATGCTCAAGGGCCTGCCCAAGGATGTCTACAGATTCTAAAAAGCAGGAGAGTTCAAAGTACTTGCTTCATTGCAAAATCTCTGGTGGACCTCAGCTGACACAACGCCTCAGTGCCTTCTGTGGCAATGAAGCCTGCAAGAGTATGGGGAGAGGCCAAAAGCGAGGCATTGCAATGACCTTGATACAACCCCCTCCCATCTACAATGACAGACTATTCACCAATATCAATATTATCTCAGGGAAAAACCAGCTTCTGAGAGCACTGGCTTAGAGCAGCCAGGTCTCCATGATTGTTTACTAGACTAAAGAGCAAAACTGGTGCAATATTTGGAGACAATGGGCCTTGCTGTGCTCATACTGACTACACCATCTTCAGAGCACCCGTAAATGAAACAAAATACAAAGTGCACTCTGAAATGTCCTCCCGGGATGTGAAATAGCTTCAGCCTTCTTCTTGGGACAAGGGAGAGATGGCAGCTCCATCCTCTACCCATAGCCCTCGGAGCTTTTAAGTAAGGAGCAGGTGGGGAGGTTCTTCTCTTTTTTCGTGTAACCCAAGTGTTCAACCACATATTTCCTCCCATGCTGAATAAAAAGACAGTCTTTGCACTTCTGAGGTTTAGCTATACATGAAAAAACAAGTTGCTACATGCTTTACTTAAAATGAATTTCCATTAAACCTAAATTTTTAAAAGTAAGATTCATACTACTACTAACTTTAAAAAACTGTATTAAATTCAAATAGGTCCCAAGGCTAATGGAAGCAATTTGTAGACCAACCCAAACTGACTGGCCCACTTTTCAAAATACAGGTATGATAATCTTGTGGTTTTAAAAGGACATTTAAATTGAAAGACTGTGAATTTAGTACATAATTATACCAATAGAACCCTTTAACTTGTCAACTGGTAAATCTAAAAGGCTATCAATCATTTCTAAAGAGGAAATAAACCTTAAAATTCCTTGATTGACAGTGCTTACTTTTTATGTAAAAAAAATAAAAAAATAAGAAAATGGCTGCATAAAGTGGCCAGAAATCCATTTACAAAAGTACATTGTTTTCCATAGGTGAGTAAAAAGCCAATAATTACACCTCCAAAAGACACATAAATCAGAGTAAGTACTTTTTCTTCACTTGTATATTTTAAGTTAAAGTGAACTCAGGTAACTTTTTATTTAAAAGATTTTCCCCCCCAAATGTAATGCTTATTGAAGTTTGTTAATAGAGTAGCCTTTTCATTTCAGATAATGTAATCATTTTTGCAAATATGAGATTTAGCTATGCCTCCCTCCTTCTAAACAGTAAACTTTCAACCTGTCTCTTGTGGAAATTAACTGAAATTATACCCAGGAGTACCACATCTCTCTATCTGTGCTAGCATATGAGTTAAGGCACAATATTTATTATTCCTCTCATTTTTTATGATTACTTTCTAAACCCTTGAGAAGAATTTCTTCTTCTTCTCCTTCTCTGTCTCTCTTTTTTTTCAAATTAGACTTGTAAAGAAAAAGCCAAAGAGTTCTTTATGCAGGGAAACTGTTACTCGTAAAATACATGGGATTTAATCAAGAAATGCATGAGGGCGACAGGAATTAGCACCTAAGTTATATATCACATCCATCCCCCAGCCACCATGCTAATTGTCAGCAAAGAAGTTTGGCCATAAAAGAGCTTTAGACAATTAAATGCATCATTTTAATATCTGAAGACATAATGTGGCATCCTGAAAATTCCAATTCTTGGTTTAATTTTTCAACCAAACCAACAATAAAAAGTGAAGTGCTGACCCACCCCTTCAGTTGTCTGCAAAATGAATTAATTCCTACTGTGTCAGGGACCTGTGGTTGCTAATTGAATGACTGTCTGACGTGTGGGAAGGGAGTCCGGCTGTGTTTCTCTGGCCACGTGGCCAACACACAGCAGAAAGACGGACACTTAACATCTGCAATTAAAAGAACTGATTCAAATATCAGCTAGAACAAACAGCTAAAGAGCTGAGGAGAAGTCACTGGGCTGACACAAAGAGTAATTGAATTAGATATATTAAACTCATTATTCAAAGAAAAGTAAACATCTGTTCTATGGAAGCATACTATGTTGGAGGAGATATTTCAGCTGTAAGACAAAGGCTTTTATTTCTCATGCCTTTATGACTTGCTCTGTGCGCAGATCTTTAAATATGTTAATCCGCCTTCAATTGAGGAATTGAACATTACAGCGCAATTGTCCCGGCGCTGAGCATAAAGATAACACTACAGATATGCAAGACAAAGCTTGTCTTAAATGCAAAGGTGTCTGATGATTTCTCTGATTGCACTGACTAGAGAAAAATTTTAAGCCAATGACTGAGTGAGAGCAGATATCTGATAAAGATTTTTTAAAACAAAACAAAACACACACACACACACACACACACACACACACACACACACACACAAAGAAAACACCAGAAAACAGATTCAATGTTTCTGGAATATGATGCAGTTCTCAAAAGCAATGCCATAAGTGGGGGGAATATTTACTGGTATGATATATGGCTAGGCTAACAAGCAGCTTACAGGAGCATATGTCTAAAAGGTTCCCTTTTTAAAAACAAACAGAGAGTAAAGAAAATGCGTCTGTGTATAAACCGCCTACAAGAGGGTTTTAAATGCTTCTCTTCTCTTTCTGCTGTGCATTCTCTATACATTTTCCACAATGAACATATATTACTTTTATAATCAAAGAAAAAGGTTAAGAGCAAGAGATTATTGCCAAGATGGAATTTGACCTGCTTGTATAAAGTAATGACATAAGAAACTATGCCTTAAAAGGGGTCTGTAGACCCTTTAATAACCTTGCATAGGTTATTACAGACCATAAGAAAAATAAGTAGTATACTTTTGGCCAGTTGTATAAATATGTGACTATTCATAAACTCTCTGAAAATCAACAGAGAAGGTAACGGGGAGGAATCATAAAGAATGGTATATTTATTTCATCTGTGGGGGTAGTTTACCTTTGGGACATAACATCTACCCTGCAAGAATGTAATATAAAGTTAATCATTCAACAAAGTGACCTCATTGTATTCAAGCACAGGGCTCAGGGGACACAGCAGAAATGGGGCTAATCAATTTTTTCCCCTAAAACTTGGGGCAAATCCGAGAATCCAGTAGAGAAAAAAAAAGAAAGAAAAAAAAAAAAACTTAATCTGGCATAATTAACCACAAATAAAGAAGCATAAGGATTTTTAAGTTAAACACACGTGTGCGCGCGCGTACACACACACACCCCAAATGGATGATGCTGCAAATTGCAAAAGAAATGTAACGCTGAGGGCAGTGTATACGGCCCTGCTTCACGGAGGCCACACTCTCTGAATAGCACTTGAGAGGGTATCACCCTCAGCCAGGAAGGGATAGTAACAAAATAAGGGAGGTTTCAGAGGTTTAAAAAAAAATTCCCTAATCCCAAACAAGGCCTCCATTTTTAAATTATCAGAAATAAAATGGGACCAAGGTGGGCATTTAAAAAATTTCACAAGATAACAAATTCTCTACTGATTCAGTCATCATGTCTGGTGCCCACCAAGTGTTCAGAAGGCATTTGTAGGAATGTTTTGTGTCACAATACCATATGCCCTTAAAAGTAAATGTTGTGAGATGTATATTTAATCCGAAAAAAAGAAAAAAGAAAAGAAAAGACAGGCAAACGAGTTTGATGACAGAACTGGGATGCAGCACCAGCTCTCATGGAGGTTGCCCTCCCCATCCTGAATCCATTCTCCTGCCTCCCTGAGGGTCAGACCCGGGGTTCCCGCCTCTGCTCCTGGATCTGGCATAGCCTTCACTCGGGCCACACTTAACAGAGACACATGGATTTAGAGAGTGATCAGGCTATTAGGGAGCCACAGACATCTGTGTTTTTTGTTTGGTTTAGTTTGTGTGTGTTTTTAACACATCATCTGCATACAGTAGTGTGTGTTCACCACCCCACGTCAAGTCTCCTTCCATCACATTTTCCCTCCTTGACTCTCCTCCATCTCCCCTACTCCCATGTCTTCCACTGACCGTTCAAAGTTAGAGAAGATAGGAATTAACTGAATAAGCTGAGGAGGACCTCATGGAGCACTGTACATATGCTCCAGCATCTTTTCCTATCAGTGCATGAAAGAAAGATCAACTGTCTCTACAGCGGAGATCGAGTTTTCAGGGCAGATATCTCAGTGGAGATTCCAGAAGGGTTCTCCTACTCACAGCTATGACATGGTACTAGGACCCGATATTCGTTGGAAGCACTGGATATAGGCAGGGGACTGGCATTTCAGTTTCATCAGTCATTTGTTTTCAAAAAGTAAAAGTTAATGAAATGGTAAAAAAATAAAATAAAATAAAATAAATCAAACCACTTCATCTGGCCCTGTGTTGGGGCTGCTTATAAATGGCTTTGGGTTCCTTCCCAGTCTCACAATCTCAGACTCCCCAAAAGGAAGCCAGTAACTATGCAGAATCAGTGTTCTCCAGCTTCCACCGAGGTCCTGGTCAAACCAGAACAGCCCAGATTCCACAAAACTACTGTTTATAGTGTCTAATCGTTCATACAGCATGACCCGCTCTAAGCAAATAAAAATCTCAATACTGTGTCTAGGTTTTATGCACT